TAAGGGGTTAAACATCAACACCACATTCATATACCCCTACATTCAAAACCAGACGCTAAACAAAGTCAACTACTGCTTTCAAATGACAACAGTACATAAAAACACACAACACAACACAGCACACAAATACACCCTGCATTCACACACACACACACTGCTACATAGAACCCTGCAAGGATGGGAAAATTTGAGAATTCTACCTTGCAAAGCATTGTAGGCGTTGTTTGACTGACCTTTTTGTCCATCCTTGTGATGGGGGCCTAAAAAGTTCTTGTACCAGGGCCCTCTCTATTTCAGTTCCGCCACTGCCCCAGGCCAAACCTAAAAATTAGAGAAATCTCAATTTAATTGTTTTATAAATAAACACATACATAGAATTAAAAGAATATATAAAATAGATTCCATTAAAAAAAAAAGAAGAAAAAAAAAGTTAAATACTTTTATACAAACATATCTAACAATTCTGTTTTCAAACAGGTATTGTAACAAATGTTAGAAGAACTATAAAGTGCATTTTTGCAAAATTCATGCAAACAATGCTAGATACTTCCAATGACACATGACTTAAAAAGCTGAATATACCATGAATTTACTAAAAAAAACTTATGTTATCAAGTGGCAGCTGGTAAAGTTTTTAGATGGCTCCACCTCTGGAAATTGATTCCTGTAAACTTTGCCCCTAACCTGACTTTGCCCACTTGATGTGCTAATACTCATATTCTAACAATAATGTATTAAGTTTGTTATTACTTAGAGTGTCACCATGTGGACATTTTTTTATTTATATTTTCCTATATCATAAATAATGTCTTTTATGCTTTATGATACTTGTGCCTTACCAGTAACACTCCAGTTTAAGTACATTATATTTCTCAAGACACTTAGTCAACTGAATAGCTAGCCTCTCATAGGAAATGTGGTTAGCAACAATTGCAGTGCTAAAAGTAAGACATTAATATATGAGGTCACTGCTAAACTGTTTACTTCAAAGTCCATAAGCAGTGTATCCGTTAAAGTCCTACCTGGCTGTGGAACCATATTTTTAGTTCCTGCCTGGATGAGATTGCAGTGTCAGCCAGAGAGAGAGCCAGAGGAGGCTCACCAGAGATGGCAGGGGAGAAACTGCAGGGATTCATTCAAAGCTTGGAGTTTGGGTAAGCTGTCAGACACTGTCTCTTCACTTTTCAAACTGTGCAGCAGATGCACCAGGCTTAACCCCTTAAGGACACATGACATGTATGACATGTCATGATTCCCTTTTATTCCAGATGTTTGGTCCTTAGGGCTTAAACAACGCAGCAGGCATAGAGTTCACATGTAAACATATTTGCTGCCATAAATGAGGCATTGAGATGAGAACTACATGTGGCTGTCAGACAGCCAATGAGGGTGATTCACACAATCTCTCATAGGATTTAATCAGATTGTCCATAAATCTGATCATGCTTTTTTTTCCTAGCAGCAATAAAAGGGCACCATAAAGGGGGAGAAGAGTAAAACTACAGTACTAATAACTAGAAGGACATAAAACAATAGCATATCTCAAAGTTGTAAGTTACAAGCAAAAAAAATAAAAACGCAACAGGAAAGAATAATTGTATTGTTTAATTTATTTTTTTACATTTATGCAAGAAAAACTGGTGTAGCGCTGCCCAATGGAAAAGTTTTACTCCTTACAAGTTGGTGTAATTCTACCATTTTAAACAAGCTTCAGGTAATGTCTGAAAGAGCACCCAAAACGCACAGAACTACACCAATTCCAGTTTAATAGTTGGTGTTAGGAGATTTAAAAAAAAAAAAAACCTTTTGAAATCTTGCTTGAAGATCATGTTTCTTTAAAAAAAGGCAAACTAAAATCCATCACAACATGCTACAACAGTACTGATCACAAAAAAAACCAGACAGAATTAAAATTTAAAAAATAACAAAAAGTCAAATAAGCTGTACCTCAAGAATCTTCAAGATGCAAAGGCTGTTATGTGTATCTGCTGGCTTAAAGAACCTCAAGTAGGCTGCGATTAGCTGGGTTGCACAGTTAGCCAATCACAGTGCATTCAAAGTCTCACCCCAACAATACTTGCCCTGTGCTGTGTCTTAGGCAATACCAGCTAAGTCCCACTAGAGTGTATATTCACACACTACTTCAGCCTTGGGAGGAGAGCTAGTCTTTGGTCTGGAGGAGCTAAATGGTGCTATTCAATATCACTGTAATATTAAAACCATCAGACACTAAATAATATAAAACACTTATTGGAATGTATAATCTATGTGGTTTTATTAGGTAAGTCTGTTTAACATAGTGTGTACAGCGATGATTTCACAAAAAACATTTAGTGAAGCGAATAATATGGTAAGAATAAACATTCATCAATCTTTTATAGAAATCTAAATTCCAAAAATTGTTCTGTTCCCGGCAATGCAAATAAATCAAGTTAGCCCATGCATTATGGTTTTAGGGACCTTTGACATTGAGAAAGACACACAAGGAAAAAGCTTCTCAGGCTATATTTAACATTGGTAAAGTTTTAACTTTTCATTTTCAAAGGAGTGAATGAATTCAGTGTAAACAAAGGCTGAGCAGTGGGACTAAAGGCAGCAGCAGGAAGTCAAGACGAGCCCTGATAGAGAAGCAGTAATTACTTACGCTGCTGGATTTCAGACATCTGAGCAAAGGCGTCTAAATGCATTAAAACAAAAAGGGAAGCTAAGTATGAAAAATATGGGCAACCTTATTCAAAAGCAAATCTTCTAAAGAATGCACAAGATACTCAGATATAAAATATTCATTTTCTAAATATAGCAACCTTTAAATGTGACAAGGTCCATCGTTGCTTCAATAACAGCTTTATTTACTAAAGTTACAATTGTTTAGATTTCAGAGTTTATTAGAAAATGTAAGGCTAAAGTAGCTGGATTGTAAAGAAATGTCAAATTCTGCTACTTAGCTTCCAGTTTCAGCAATTTTGGCCTTAACCCCTTAAGGACCAAACTTCAGGAATAAAAGGGAATCATAAAATGTCAGACATGTCATGTGCCCTTAAGGGGTTAAAGGAACACTATAGTCACCTGAACAACTTTAGCTTAATGAAGCAGTTGTGGTGTATAGAACATGCCCCTGCAGCCTCACTGCTCAATCCTCTGCCATTTAGGAGTTAAATCCCTTTGTTTATGAACCCAAGTCACACCTCCCTGCATGTGACTTGCACAGCCTTCCATAAACACTTCCTGTAAAGAGAGATCTATTTAGGCTTTCTTTATTACAAGTTCTGTTTAATTAAGATGTTCTTATCCCCTGCTATGTTAAGAGCTTGCTAGACCCTGCAAGAGCCTCCTGTATGTGATCAAAGTTCAATTTAGAGATTGAGATACAATTATTTAAGGAAAATTACATCTGTTTGAAAGTGAAACCAGTTTTTTTTTTTCATGCAGGCTCTGTCAATCATAGCCAGGGGAGGTGTGGCTAGGGCTGCATAAACAGAAACAAAGTGATTTAACTCCTAAATGACAGTGAATTGAGCAGTGAAATTGCAGGGGAATGATCTATACACTAAAACTGCTTTATTTAGCTAGAGTAATTTAGGTGACTGTAGTGTTCCTTTAAGTTTGAAATTATCTCTGAATTTATTACAATTCTCATTTTAGTAGATAATACGTGTAGGGCAAACCTAATAGTAAAATGTAGAAGGTGGTAAACACATATACAGAGTTCCTGTAGTAGAAAGTGCACATAACCCTGGATTGACAGTCTACAATAAACAGATAATAAAAAAGAATGGTCCAGCACACCTCACTTTCTTGAACAGACCTTCACTGTGGAATCATACAAAGTAACGACATTTTGACCAAACTTGACAACTTTATCAAGTCCAACATATGTCATAATATATCAACAAAGAAGTGGATTGGATGATCAAAATTCAAATACCGCACATACAACACTTAACAAGCACACATAGATACAGTGTATGTTCAACCCCCTAACCCCCACCCAAAAAAAAAAAAATTAGAGGACCATCTCACACCCCTGCTTTCTTAAAACTTATTGTAAAGCTAAATAAAAAACCATGAAGTCCCATCGCAACTTGTAAAATTAATAAAAGAAGCAAATTCATGAAGGGGGAAAAAAGTGCTTTGTGCGACTAAGCTTGCATAGCGTTAAAAGCCCTTATAAGGACTTTCCCATGCTATGCAATTTCACTCTGATTGCTCTAATGGTCGGCTTGTAATATTGTGTAAGTCCCCCTTGTGCTGCTAAAACTGCATTGATACATTAAAGGACCACTCTAGGCACCCAGACCACTTCAGCTTAATGAAGTAGTCTGGGTGCCAGGTCCAGCTAGGGTTAACCCATTTTTTTTATAAGCATAGCAATTTCAGAGAAACTGCTATGTTTACAAATGGGTTAATCCTTCCTCCAATTACTCTAGCGGCTGTCTCATTGACAGCCGCTAGAGGCGCTTGCGTGATTCTCACTGTGAAAATCACAGTGAGGGCACCATTACATTAGCTACAGATCCTTTAAGCCTATCAGGTTGGAGCCTCCATGGATTGGATTTGTTGTTTGTTGTTTGCTTGTAATGTGCATATTCTACAGATGCTCAATCATATTGAAATCTGGTGAATTTGTAGGCCAAGGCAAAACCTTGAGCTCTTTGTTATGTTCCTCAAACCATGCATGCACATTGTTTGCAGAGAGGTAGGGTGCATTATCATGCTGAATAATGCCACTGCCATTAGGGAATGCATTCAATGGCCACAATATTTCTATTTATATTAAAGCAAATATTCAGCAGCTATAGTGAGGCCCAGGGAAATATCCCTAGATCTCTTTAAATAATTACACACTTAAATGTCATTTAAAGCTTATCAAAGATTTTCAGTTCATTGATTCCTTACATAATTTAGTCTGTATGATCAAGAGAACCGCAATGTTTTTCTTTATGTCAATGTGCAATTAAGGATAAATGAATAACGATTTAAACAAGGGGAATAAATAATTAGACATTTCTCAGTCAGCATTAAATCTTTACACTTTGTGTTCTCTTGAGTAAGTTAGTATTTTCTAAGTAAGCGCTTGGTGAAATGTATTTGAATGCAGCCTTCTGTATTGTGGCAACATCTACAATTGTGATTTCACTATATGAATACTGCAACAGCTGCTGAGAAAGTGACGCATTTAGAGTTCTTTTATGCAAAAAGCTACTTTCATAGCTTACTCTTTTCTTTTCTAAAAAAAGATTGAACTAGATTTCTGTGGGGTTTATATTTTGATCCACACAGTTAATAAAACATGACTAATGCACACAACAACAAATATAATACAATAAAATAATATAATATGAAATGCCAGCAGTAACACAAATATATTTTCACTTCTTTTTATGATTCTTACATGTTACGGTTGGAAACTGGACACAATGAGAGATGTAACACCATACTTTTAAAGGAGTATGTGAGTCTTCTCACAAGTGGAACAAGAGAAGTAGTGATAGTATCCTATAGGTCGGGATAGGCAACCGTCGGCACTCCAGATGTTTTGGACTACATCTCCCATAATTGTCTTACATCCATAATGCTGGCAAAGCATCATGGAACATGTAGTACACAACATCTGGAGTGCCGAAGGTTACCTATCCCTGCTATAGGACAATGAGCTAAGCTTAGCTAAAAGCTTGTTACTGAACTACATATTCCAGTCTACAATTATAATAGGGGCAGCAACCTCTTCACCAGTGGTCCTTATTTTTTGACAATGACTCAAATTAAACACATTGCATTAGCTTGGTGACCCATTCTACACTTGGTCTCAGTGACTCACACTTCATAGTTTGTGTAATGCAGAACAAAATGAATTGGCAAATATTTTCATTAGACTCTTCATAGTACTATATAGGTGTCTGCAGAGCATTGGGGAAGGCATTGCTTCTACAGTAACCAGATTGGTTGGCAATTGCCTGGAACCTAATGACTATGATACGCCTCCTCTAATGAATGGGAGCCCTCTGAATTAGCATGAGTTTTGGTTCTCAGCCCAGAGGTTAAGAAGCATTGCTCTTTACTCTTTCCTTAACATGTGATGTTCCTTTACAAAGACAAATATGTCAAATGTATCACATATTACAATATAACAGAGTTTCTATAAACTACTCTGATTCAGAATGTGATACGCTAAATAGTAATCGCTTGCACTGATTATTGTAACTCTCTCCAAGCCATACTGCCTCATTACAGTCTATAATGAATGCTGCCGTGAGACTGATTTTCCTCTCCAGTCACGCCTCTCACACCACACCCCTCTTTCAGACATTACATTGGCTTCCTGTATCCTATAGGAGTCAATTCAAAGTACTAATCCACACCTATAAAGCACTGAACAATTCTAACCCCTCTTATATCTCTTCACTGATCATTTCCGCTTTGCCCATGACCTTCACGGCCTCTCCGCTTTGCCAATGACCTTCTCCTGTCCGCTGCTTGCACCTATATGGCCAACTCATGCTTGCAGGACTTCTCGCAGGTGGCTCCTTTCCTATGGAACAGCCTGCCTACCACCACCAGACTCTCCCCTAGTCTTCATAAGAAGTGCCTTAAAAGCCATCGCTTCAGAAAAGCTTATGGCCTCCCAGAGTAACCTCCACCTCACATATCTGTCTCTTGCTCCCTTCTAAATGGCAGCACTCTACTCTCTCCTTCAGCTCTGCTTCACTCCCACCTTATTTGACTGCTATTCTCCTGTCCTATTGTGTTTTATGCCACACCTCCTATAGACTGTAATCTTGTTTGAGCAGGGTCCTCAACTACCTATTGTTTTTGTAAGTTTTTTGTAATGGTTTCATTTATTGTAAAATCTCCCCTCTCATAATTTTGTAAAGAACTACGGAATATGTTGACGTTATATAAATACCAATAATAATAATAAATGTGACTTGCGCTCTCACCTGTAGACCTTCTGCTTCCTTACCATCTTTACTACCATTGCTGCCACTGCTGGATCATTTACATTTTGCATGCCAACATCTTTCCACTTGGTTAACCTGAGATTTCCATGCTGGGTTTTTGTTAACCATGATAAGACGTTTATGAAAGTGTCCCATCGTTCTTTCTGTACCCTGCCACAGATACTACTGCAGGACCTGCCAGTATCCCAACTAAGTTCAACAAAGTATCTTTCAGTTTATGAAAAAAAATGCTTTATACATTTGCTCTGTTAGTGAATCCTGGGCCAGATTTCCCAATAGGCAGAATAGGCACCTAAGTACAGGTGCCTATTTTCAGCACTTGTAATGTGCCTTTTTGGAATTCAAGTGGGCTGATGTTGTAAGGCCTTGGCCAATATCCTCCTTAGTCCAGTCATCCTCATATGCTTGATAGTAGAGCTGTAGGGACAGTTATAGAGAGTGTAAAGCTTAGTTCTCTTCCAGGGTCTGTGTGTTAGGCTGGTCATGAAAGGAAGGGATCACTTTCAATCTGCCTCTCACATAGGAAATGCCTTGCAGGAGGAGCAAGGAAAGCATTGCGTGATACACACTCTTTATCAAAGAATAGCACTGACTGATGCACACCGTATATCACAGGACAGCATTGACTGATACATACTGTATACCATAGGATACACTGAATGTTACAAGACAAGAAAGTGGAGGGTGTGCTTAACAGTATGAAAACAGTATGTATACTTATTAATGGAGCTAACTTGTTTGTTAGCTTACATGTTGCATGGTTTTCTCTTTTCCTACATGAATTCATGTATATTTGAGTTTGACGTGCAGATATCAGTTTTTTTCTTGTTTAGTATTCTATTGTATTGGCTGGTGGTACCTGTGAGGGAACAACCTTGCAGTGTTTGTGCAGCTTCTATCAGGTGTTATATTGTTAGTATAGCACCACATTTTCACTATATTGATTCACGTTTTTTAGCACTGAATGAGGCACACTGTATTTCAAAGGACAGCACTGAGTGGTGCAGAATGTAAACATGTCATGCAACTCTAATATCAATTATAGGAGGATGACTGGATTATAGATGACATAGGAGAATGTAAGAGGTTTTGCTAGCAATTACCTCTCCCTGGGTGTCCACGGCATCCTGGAGATGGATTAATGAAGGCTCGGGCACTTGATGCTCCTGCGGCTCTGTTTTATCTCTCTCTCTTGCAGCTTCTCCCGCGCCTCCTGTTCCCGCGCGGCATGCACAGGGCAATGGGGATATCTGGGGAGAGGGAGGGAGGGATCGATGGGATGGAGGGAATAGCCAAAATGGTGCCCATCATCATGCCCTTCTTTATAGTCTCTGTGGAGTTCCACCTGCAGGGGGCGAGGGCCGTTCACATTACTTGCATTTTCTATAAATTCTCAAGCATTGCACTTAGTCAGTGCTTGGTTGTTCTGTAGCTTGCCATTCTTGGTTCCTGATTCTTGCTCCTGATTCCTGTTCCTGATTCTTGTTTCTGGTTCCTGATTCTGGTTCCTGATTCTTGTTCCTGATTCTTGTTCCGGGTTCCTGGTTCCTGATTCTTGTTCCTGGATCCTGATTCCTGGTAAAACTTCTCAGCTTCTGACCCTTGGCTTTGACTCTGACCACACTTCTTGTCTCCAACCTTTGACCTCTGGCATCCTGCTTCCAATTTGTGGATTTCCTTGGCTTAACTCTTGACTTTGCTCCTTTGCAGCCAGCCTGACCACTGGACCGCTTGACACCACTGTCTGTCTGCTCCTTTCTGGCTTCATCGCTACCTCTGTAAATAGAGGCACTCATGCCCTCATAGCTCTCCCAGCTTCCCATATCAGTCTCAGGCACCTGGGATGGTCATGTTTGCAAGGGGTTGCTGTTTTGCTACAACTGAGTTCCTCTTCAAGCAAACCAACCAGTAGGTTGTCACAGAGGATAAGTACTTTGCAAATAATTCTTCAAATGCCACATGCCCCTTTTCGTTTAACCGAAACCTAAACCCTTTCCTTATTCTAAGATTTAAGCGCTCAAAGCCTAGTCCTGAAGAAAGCCTTAACCTTAATCATAGGTTTAACTATTCTTAGAAACATAATACCCCTATAATACTCTAATCAAATTCTAACCCTAAACTCAAATATCGTAAAATGCCCCCCTGTGCCAAATACTAACTTTAACCCTAGTCTAACGCTGAACGCATCCATTCTAAATACCCCTTATACAGCAGCTATAACTCCTCACAATCTTTCTTATTCTCTTAACATTAAACATCCTATATAAACTAACTTTGATGTTGACCACTCTAAGGTGGTGCCTTTGCATTATGTGCCTCAAGGTACCTGACATGTAAATACAGTCCTGCTAACAGCACTTGCCCTTGTAAGTAAAATGTCTTGCACTACATCTCAACCTCCAATGAACCTGGGACACTCTAGGTACCAAAACAACTTCATCTAAATGAAGTTGTTAATGGTTTCAGGAAGCCCTGGAGGCACTCGTACTGATACCGGAGAAACTGACGGAAGCAAAGCACAGAGGGATGGACACAGGTTTCTTCAGGAAGGAAGAGATTCTTTATTGGATCACCGATCGGGACTCAGAGGGACTAATGTCACCAAAAATACAGCAAGTTCTGAGCCCTGAACAATAGTGCAGGCTCCCTATATAGGCACATAACTCCTCCCATATTAAGCTCCACCCGCACATTCTCTTGACCAATCATTACAAATAAGAATTAACTTCCTGCTTGACCGCATGGCTTGTCCAGCACAATGGAGGAGGGGAATACTACATCCTGTATTCTTGCACATGCTCCGTACACTACTGATCGTATCTTGCCTCGTGCAACCAACTGATCGATACGTCAGCATATGCACGTACACATGCCACGTGGTAATCTCGGCCTACTAAATTTATTTTTACCGAGATTCCACCACATTCCCCCTTTGATGCCTCTTGATATTTTACAATTACTTGAGGCATCACTTAACCTTGGTTTGCATACACCACAAGTTACCTTTGAACCAGACCAGACTTATCCTATGATGTGAATCTTCAACACTCGTCTTCCTGCATTGGTTCTCCCTGATCTAGAGCCTTATATTTATAAATTGCCATTATCTGTGCAGCAGCCTTCCTCTCTGCTATATTTTCTATCAGGCTTTGCACAGACCTAACTACTAAGGGTATAAGACACGGCAGGAGTAGACACAACATTAAAATCAGTAGGACTCCACCTACCACTGCCTTAAGCCCTC